TTTATATTATGGCATTTCATTACATCATCCTGAAATCATCCAATGATATTACATCTTTATATTCTGTTCTGTATAGAATTATATTTTATAAAAAGGTTTTTCAACATCATCTCCATCATCCTCACTTACAGTTTGTATAAAATTTCATATTATCAATCTAGTATGTATAAATGTTTTATATCATTATTGATTATTTATTTGACTATAGCCATTATTACTTTGTCTTATACATAGTACTAAAAATGTAAATACATTTAACTAAATTTTATTGTGACATTTCACTTCATCATCCTGTATCCTTCCAGAAATAGTGCAGTCCAATATCTCTTGCCCTTTGTAGAATCTGTATTCTAAGTATTTTCTTGATAAGTCTTATGTGGCCTTCTCTTGACAATTTGTTGTTCATTGCATATCTTAAAAGAATTCGAAACCCTCCATCTGTTCATTTCATCTGCTCGACTTTTGTTATCACTGGTGCTTCTACCTATGTTTTGACATCTGAGATAGAGTTCTGGTTCATCGATCTCTCCTTTCCATATTCCGCACGTATCATTTCTCTCCACACTTGATTTGCTGTCAATGTCAACAATTTTCTTATCACTTTCATATGTCTCTGTAATTTTTTGAACTCTGTCCTCAAATTTCATAGTTGTTTTATAAATATTGTCAACTCTTCCCCTTTGTACTTTCTGTATTTTGATATTTTGTATTTTGATCTATACATTCAAGACTCTTTTCAATTCTCTCTTTAGTTATTAAGAGTTTTTTAAATTTCTAACATAATTTTTTGCAATGTTAGTTCCTTTTCTTCTTCATATAGTGCCATTTTTCCAAGTTATAAACACTGCCAAAACATCCAAGGCTTTTGCTAGGTTTCAAACAAATTCAGTGAAGTTTTTTCCACTGACCATTTTAGAAAAATCAAACTGATAGCTTTGTAATATCAGATGGTCCAAGCCTCTAGTCACTAGATGACAGTGTTATATTTTTTTCCTCTGTTTTTGGCTCTCTTTTCTAAACTCCGAACTCCGGAAAGGGT